GACATCAGTCATGCTAAACATTGAGTCCCGTCTGGGTCACAAATAGGATTGTGCGTTTAAGGTCGCCACCGGTCTCCCATAGCTTCTCTTGCAATGTGGCTCCCTTGGGCCAGATCCACAGTCTTTGCTGGGAGAGGTTAGGGCAGTACTGTAGTATGTGTTCAGGGGTTTGTCTTTCTGCTCCACAATCACAGGCAGCAGATTCTGTTATGCCTATCCTGTACAAGTGTGCTCGAAGACCACAGTGTCCAGTCCGAAGTCTAAAAATTGATGTTTGTTCTTTCCTGTTGAGTTTGTTTATGCTGTCACTCTCTGGTCTGTAATCTCCATTCTGCCTTCTCCAAACCCGCTTGAAAGACTGCCTTAGTGCTGTTTTGGTTTCCTTGTAGCTGTGTGGTGGATGAGGTTGTGGAAGATTACTCCCAGCTTTTGCCAACTCAACTGCTCTCTCATTTCCTTGAATACCACAGTGGGCTGGTATCCACTGCAAGACCAGTTCTGCTTCCTTGGAGAGTAAGCCAATGTTGGTCCTTAGATCAGCGATTAGTTTGTCTTGTTTTTTGCTGGATAGTGCTTGGAGAACAGACAATGAGTCACTAAGTATAACAATTTGGTGCCCTCTGTGTTCTTGAGTGATGAGATGTTGGACTGCAGAGAGGAGGGCAGTTGCCTCAGCTCTGAAGTTAGTGCAGATGTCACCTGCTGGTAGAGAGAGAGTTTCTGCTCTACTGCTAGGGGGTTTAATGTATATTCCAAAACCCCCTTTCTGACTGCATCTGTAGCAGAGCCGTCGGTGAAAACCTGAGTCCAAGTGGTGTTTGGATACTTCTCATCAAGCATAGCAAGAGCCAGGGTTCTCTGTTGTGTCTCCGTCTGGGCATCTTTTGAAGTGATTCCTGGTACCTTTAGGACTACATTTGCTTTCTCTGGCTTGCTTGTCCATGGTTCTGGCCTGTTTTTCGCACAGTGCAACATCTCTTTCAAGCAGATCTTTGTGCTGTCTGTACAGTTCTCTAGGAAGGTGGTTGGGGCTCTGACGCTTCAGTCTGTTTTTTGTTCTCTCTTGAAATTTAAAATGCAGTGGGTGACTTTGAAGTCTTTTTAATTTCTCATACTGTAAAAGAGTTTTGTATTGTCTTCTGAGTTCGAGTGGTTCAGTATCTGCTATCTTTTCTATTTCTCTGATGGGGGTGGTTTTCATGGCTCCGAGAACAATCCTTAATCCCATATTCTGAACCTTGTCCAGTTTTCCCATTGTTGTCTTGGCTGCTGCAGCCCATGCAGTGGAGGCATATTCCATGACTGGCCTGACTGCTCCAGTATATACGTATTTTAGGATTCTAGAGGTGGCGCCCCATGTGGTACCCGCTAATTTTTTCATCACTGCAAGCTTCTTGAATGCTTTCCCCTGTACTGCTTCTACGTGTGACTTCCAAGTTAGTCGCGAATCAAGTGTAACGCCCAGAAAGGTAGGAGTGTCAGTCTGTGGAATGAGCTGGTTTTTAATCCAAATGTCGATTTTTTCTTTTTTGGGGGAGAGAGAGAAAAGTGATGCTGTGCTTTTTGAATTATTTAGCTTTAGACCCCACTTTTCGGTCCAAGCTTCTACATTTTCCACAGTTTTCTGTAACAGATATGAGGCTGTGGTAGTGTATTCGGAGGCTGTCCAAACTGAAAAGTCATCGGCATGTAGGGTATTAGAAACGTGCTGGTGGCAGGTTGCTGTGATATCATTTATGTAAACCAGGAACAGAGTTGGTGCTATTGCACTGCCCTGGGGAACTCCTTCTCTTAGTTTTGCCAGTTTGCCGATGTGTCCATCAATTCTGAGTCTGGCTCTGCGTTGGAAGTTCCTTTCACTAATTATGCGTTTCTTTTTTTTTTTACAGTATATTTATGTCAATGTGAACTCTGATAAAGACATTGACACTAGTTAAAGTGATTACGGTCTATCGTCTTGTCTTTCCATATTCCTAAAGAGATTTTTTTTTTTAATGTTGGTTGCTACTTTTCCAGAGGACAGTTATAATGTGTTACAGTGAGGTAAAGTAATCACAGCCAATGAAATCCATAACACAAAGCCTGGACAGTATTGTATAGAATAAGTTTTGGCCCATACAGCATGATGCTTCGTCGGCCTGCTTTGTTTACTAGCAAGGATAGGTAACACCAGTACGTTTGGAACATAGCATGCTGTAGAAGCTGCCAGATCAGAAGTGCAGTGCTCTATCTGTAGGATGAACACGGCCGGCTGAAGCTTTTATATACTGCTCGAGTCGGGCGTGGATGAACATTCGACCCGTTTTCACCAGGACAGACCCATTGTTTAGGTATGGTTGGCACTCATTAAAAAAAAAAAAGTGCCGTTTTATTTACAATAAAAAAATCTTAACATAAGCTTGAATGCTTATTGTGCAATCTGTAGACCACACCTTATAAGAGTTGATACTTTTTGATACTTTTAATAATAATAAATTATATTATACAGTATTTGGAGGAGAAGGTGGGGGTTGAGTTAAACTGATATACCATTTTCAGATTTAAAAAATATGAGTGGGAAGTCCCGTTATCAGTTCAGGATATTATGGTCACCCACACTGTCCACTTTCTCTTAAAATGCATTAGTGTTAGCTGGTCATAGTTTCTCTGCACTGCTTTTCTCGCATTCCTTATCTTACTTATCCTCATTTAACACTTTTTCTTATCTATTCATGCCTTCTTCATTCATGTTTATTCCAGTATACCTACCATTAAAATTGGCAGGCCTTTTCTATGACTGCTGGACCTCAAATAGACACGTTTTTTCTTTAAACTAAATCATTTATTACATGCCTGTTTGCCTTCTTAATCGTCAATCGGCGTGGTGGGGAATGAACACGTAGACAGACTGGATCTGTACTGCTGGGTGGTGAATTGATACCTGACAAGGCAGATGTGGTCAGAGCCCTTTAGAAACAAGTAACGAAGTCAGAATAGAAACTAGTTTATTATTGGCTGGAGAGAATGATGCACCTGGGTAGCACACTATGCTCACAGGAAAAGCAAGACATACAACAAGACTACGACTGGCACTATTCGTATTGGAACTTTGAGGTGGCTACTGAGGATGGGGACCAAGGGTTTTTGGGAATGCCCTGAGTGCTGTTATGTCAATACCTGACTCAACTTAACTAGTTCCTGGCATATCTCTTCTTCTTTACATTCACCAGCTGTAAACTCTGCCGGAAAGTTCTGGTCGTCTGTTCCAAAACTAGAGTTTTGCCTGCACATCTGTTTTACAAATCTAGCTTATTATAGGCAGACTGTTGGTTCATCACCTCTCTGACTTCGAAAGAAACATTGTCCATTAGTTGATTCTTACGACATGCTTGTTCGGGGGGCAGTAGTGCCATAACTTGTGTTGTCCCACCCCTGAAATAGGTTGGATATGTATTTGGCCGCGGGATACCGCCTAGACCAATACGCGCCAACATTCAAACATTTAAACTATTCCAGAGTGCTGTTGATTCATTAGGAAAAATCCTTAAACAGGCACGTGACATGAGCGGCATGTGACACCAATGCCTCCCTAAGGCACAAAGGGCATTGTCATCTTAAAACCAAAAGTGTGCTAACAACAGCAGCCTACTATATGTGAACAATAAACAACTGACAATCAGGCATTAGTGCCTTTAATGCAAAACAATGATTTTCTGTTTAAATAATGCCAACAGGTTTTGATCACATCATTAATCTTGGACTTCCATTGGTGAGATGAGCAGCATGGCAAGAGACAATGTGATTTGCATATGTCAGTTAAAAGGTTTCATGTTTTGTGCTTCAATATATGTTGATGTAACCCTTGTAGTATTTGCCAGGCAAATGTTGTTATTGTCGACATTATCTAAGGTGTTATTTTAGTTTTATTATAAAGACATAGATGCCTGAAATCATTTATGTGGTCTCTACAAGGCAAATAAACAGTGAGCTTTGTCACTCACTGTACAGAAAATGAGCTAAAAAAGCAATGCTAAAAAACATGTAATTTGAAATCAACCATTTGATTATGTTTATTATTTAAAGTATTTTCTCAAGATTCTGGAGTATTCTGTACATTATATTAGGTCACATACACATACTTATGAAACCAGATATCTGATACAAACAAGAGAGGATACAAACAGCTCCTTGTAATATAAGAAAGTGACACCTCTATGTCACATTTTCAATAAATACTAGTTCACAAAATTAAACCATCATACTTTTCAGATATACTATCCTTTAATTACACGTGAAATGCCCACTGTCATCAAGTCAATTTTAATCAAACCATTTAAAATCATTTCATATTTGTTACTGTGAAAAATATATAATAGCCTCATGGGTGTGAACAATGTACAGCAGCACATTTTTCTTTTCATTATTTCAGTAAAGGTCAGAATTCAGAATTATATAATTACATCAATTCAGAATGTATATAAATACACCAATCCAGAATGTATATAAATACAAAGTTTCTGACTGGCTTAAAAACAATAATTAACTATTACAGTCTGTTCTCACTAAAGATAGGATTAATTTTGTTGTAACTTAGAGCTCAGGCAAAGTTATTCACAGCTAATCAATTGAATTCTACAATCAACAAAAACAAAATCCACAACTGGAAAAATCATGATGTGAAAACATGAAATAACCAGACCTAATGTGCAGTTATAATAATCTTTTACTGACAGCAAAGAAGCTCAAAGTACTAAACTTATTACAGTGAACAGTTCACTGATAATTTGTTACCAAATTTCAGTTTCTTAAAAAAATATGTGGACATTAAAGCTGATTTTACAATCGCACAAATTCTAACTTGACTCAAATTCTAGAGCTTTTAAATAATGTGGTTTTCATCATTGTAAACTATCCTGTTAAAATATGACTTTATGAAATGTGAACAGAAATACTCATATGCTTTTGAAATTATTGTAATATTCTGTATACTAATTAAAATCTGCAAATGAGCCCCACATTCTTTACATTGGTGTGCCTTTTTCCTTAAGACGCGAATCCAGTCGTGCCTGCTCATTTCTGGATTTATCAGCGGCCTGTGACAACAACTGCTCCTGTGCAAATTTCATTTCACCCACAAGCTGCACAATTTGTTTCTGGGAACAAGACAAAAGAAGAAAGTTAAAAAATATACATGCTAACTCTCAACTCTTTCAGCATTGTTATGTATCACAAATCCCTGAAAATGCAACTAAACCAGCATTACTGCACTGGCTTGTTCTTGACAAACTTAGTTAATGCCACTGGCTCAGTTTGCACCTGCGCAATGTTTAGGAAAACACTGATGATTACACACACAAATTAGCACTGGAGATGGGGAGAGGAGGCCTTACTGTGAAAATTGATTTTTTAAAGCTAAAATTACAACATAATTTGCCTTTAGTCTTAGCAGCCACATAATGAGAGATCACAATGTTATTCAGCGTATAAATTATCTATAGGCTAAAGAGAATGTCATCCATTTCATTCTTTGCCCCACGCTGTTTACTGATTATAATTCTTTAAAACATTTTAAAATATTAAAGTGCTGAACAGTATCGTGTTGTTTTTACAGTCGTCCATTTTCTGCTCGTCGTGTGATGTCAGTGTGTGAGATAGCAAGCGTGCGATGATGCGAGCCAGATAGGAGATAAAAGAAAGTCATCGCATACATTAATTAAATTTTTTTAAATGTATTAGTGACCTGTGTACGCTGAGTTGTGTTAAGCCTTTTTCTGATGAATTAATGAGTTCCAGGCCCTTTTCCCAAGGTTTCCACGGCACAGGGGTTAAGAATTGCGGCAAGGTACAGAATGCCAATGTGTTATATTTTTAAGACTAAACTTTAAGCATTCAATTATTCTAAATAAGTCTGCCGGGGTACATTTCTGTTGACAGAATGGATGCAACAGGTTATCACATCCAGACTGTTGAATGTCCTCTTTAAACACCCAGCAAGTAATAATGAACCACCGCCTAATTTTCCTTCTCTATCAAGGACTTGTATCAAGCATCATTGACTAGTCTGGGCCTTGTCACTATCAGCAGAACCCAGCTAGAAAGATTGAACTAAGTACTACACAAAAAAAGTGACATCCTTTCTAAATATCTTCATCAACATTTGAAATGATCCAGGCATACAGCATAGACCTACAGCCTAACTATACAGTCACAACAACGATTCCAGGCATAAACAGAAAGGCTGGAGAATGTGACCTAGTACTGCATGCAAAGACCTTCAAATATGTCTACAATTGTTTTCCAAAACCTGAATGGACACACATATACACTGATGGATCATTGGAGGAAGCAGAAATAAAATGGAGGAGCTGTATTGGTCATCATGCTGCAAGATGGGACCACAGAAGAAACGTCATGCACCTCTGGAAAACTCAACAAACTTCAGAGCAGCAAACAATTATTGATTCAGCTATGCTGCAGGAGATCGCAGATCGTGGCGAGGCATAATCGCCCACGCCAGTGGGCAAGGCACCTGATGATGATGATACACTATTTGTATTCGGCCGAATAGTTGGTCCCGCTATTCGTATTTGGCGGAGTAGTGAAAATCACTATCCGCTACAGCCCTAATATTTAGCAGTCATGTACACACTCAACCGTGTACCATACAACTGATGGACAACAGCAATGCCAGCTGTGCATAGAACATGGCATTATTTCATGACAACTCTAGTAGCATAACATGTTGAATATTCAACAATTTTACTTAACACAGACTTACAGCTAGCTGGTAGTTTCTATCTTGACGCGACTTCTGGCAAATTGCTACTTCAGTGGGTCTGCCATCTGTTGAACAGTTTTTGAAAGACCATTAGAATTACTCCTTTGTATTTACAAGCAGTGTGGTAAATGTTCCCAATGGTGTCTTACAATGTTATGTGGTAAATGTTCCCAATGGTGTCTTATAATGAAATTTATAATGTTATTTGATAAATGTTCCCAATGGTGTCTTATAATGAAATTTATAATGTTATTTGATAAATGTTCCCAATGGTGTCTTATAATGAAATTTGATAAATGTTCCCAATGGTGTCTTACAATGTTATGTGGTTAATGTTCCCAATGGTGTCTTACAATGTTATGTGGTTAATGTTCCCAATGGTGTCTTACAATGTTATGTGGTAAATGTTCCCAATGGTGTCTTATAATGTTATGTGGTAAATGTTCGCAATGGTGTCTTATGTTTTGTGGTAAATGTTCCTAATGGTGTCTTACAATGTTATTTGATAAATGTTCCCAATGGTGTCTTATAATGTTATTTAATAAATGTTCCCAATGGTGTCTTATAATGTTATTTAATAAATGTTCCCAATGGTGTCTTATAATGAAAGTTATGTTATTTGATAAATGTTCCCAATGGTGCCTTATAATGAAATTTGATAAATGTTCCCAATGGTGTCTTACAATGTTATGTGGTTAATGTTCCCAATGATGTCTTATAATGTTATGTGGTTAATGTTCCCAATGGTGTCTAATAATGTTATGTGGTAAATGTTCCCAATGGTGTCTTATAATGTTATGTGGTAAATGTTCCCAATGGTGTCTTGCAATGTTATGTGGTAAATGTTCCCAATGGTGTCTTATAATGAAATTTATAATGTTATTTGATAAATGTTCCCAATGGTGTCTTATAATGAAATTTATAATGTTATTTGATAAATGTTCCCAATGGTGTCTTATAATGAAATTTGATAAATGTTCCCAATGGTGTCTTACAATGTTATGTGGTTAATGTTCCCAATGGTGTCTTACAATGTTATGTGGTTAATGTTCCCAATGGTGTCTTATAATGTTATGTGGTAAATGTTCCCAATGGTGTCTTGCAATGTTATGTGGTAAATGTTCCCAATGGTGTCTTATAATGAAATTTATAATGTTATTTGATAAATGTTTCCAATGGTGTCTTATAATGAAATTTATAATGTTATTTGATAAATGTTCCCAATGGTGTCTTATAATGAAATTTATAATGTTATTTGATAAATGTTCCCAATGGTGTCTTATAATGAAATTTGATAAATGTTCCCAATGGTGTCTTACAATGTTATGTGGTTAATGTTCCCAATGGTGTCTTACAATGTTATGTGGTAAATGTTCCCAATGGTGTCTTATAATGTTACGTGGTAAATGTTCGCAATGGTGTCTTATGTTTTGTGGTAAATGTTCCTAATGGTGTCTTACAATGTTATGTGGTAAATGTTCCCAATGGTGTCTTGCAATGTTATGTGGTAAATGTTCCCAATGGTGTCTTATAATGTTATGTGGTAAATGTTCCCAATGGTGTCTTGCAATGTTATGTGGTAAATGTTCCCAATGGTGTCTTATAATGTTATGTGGTAAATGTTCCCAATGGTGTCTTATAATGTTATGTGGTATGCTTGATAAAATCCATTTTTAAGATGCAAGCAGTCTCGCAGCATCCAGTTCCCAGAGAGGGACAGAAAACAGACTGGTCTTTCTCTAGCCCAGCCAACATAGAAACTACAAAGTGATAATAACAAATGTCTGAGCTGTCGGTCACCACAATGAAGGTTGGCTTCATTGTACCACTGTTATCTTTGGGAATATTAGGTAGTGAGATCCCATTCTCTTCCACAGTGCAACTATAATGAAATTGTCTGAATTTCATTAGGATTATTTGTTAAACCCCCCCCCCCCCCCCCCCCTTGCTTGGGCATCATGGAATTGTTATTTATCAGATTAATGGTGGAAATACATTTTTTTTTTTAAATTAGCATTTAACAAATATGTTTTGTCTGAGTGATCTCAGACATTCAGGCAGACAAAAACATAATTAAGAAGTCTGAAATAGTTATATCTGTGATAACAGGCAAGAAACCTTAGACCCTCTCACTGTTATAATGTAGCATTCAGCAAAATGCGATACTTACCAGAATAAGAATAATCAGGTAATTCATGAATAGGATGATGTCTGTGCTGAACTGTTTTTTCATGATTTCTGTAGACAGAAAAAAAAAGTAAATGCTTTCACTGTCCATCAAACAAAGAGAAATTAGAGACCTAGAAAAAAAAGTGGGTAATACTGAGGGATTAAATGACACCTCAAAAATCTACACACACACAACAAATTCCCATTAACATTCAAAGTATGTCTACTGCAATCATGTGGCATATAGCCATCTGAATTTCTTTGTTGTTCATTTGGTATATCACAATGAACATTGTACTGATGTATCAAAACTAGGATGGTGAGAGCTTCTGTGGGTACCTCCCAAAAGAGGCCTCAAGGTTTTCCGTTTCCAGTTTAGGTTAATTTCTGCTACTGATTTATGAGACCCATCTTAGTGAGGACAAGTACAGTGGGTGTCGGGCAAGAATAGAGCAATGGTGCTAGTCTACTGCCCTCTTCAAACCCAGGGGCTTTGTGGGTTTGGTTTTACTTCTTAACCAGGCTCATCCCTGAAGGGTGAAATGAGCCACCAACTCAGCTGTAACCTCCCTGAGAGGTAAGATCTTTCTTCCTGGAATGAGAAGAATAAATCGTCTCAGTTCATGACAACAAGTAATAATCTTAAATTTGTCAGGCATGGCTGTTTTCTTGGACAGCTTACCAGTTCAAATTTTCCATTTTATTTAACTGTTTCATTATATTTATTAGAATTATACAATATAATTTTTCTCCTCTTTAGTTTTATCTTCCAATGCAGCATGGGCCTTCAACATCTCTCCTGTCTGTTGCTGTTTTCTGTTTGCTATCTTCTGCAGCTCCTTTCCATATTTACCTGTCTGTAACTCTCTTTTGTGTGTGTTTTAGGTCTCCCCCTATTTCATCTGCCCTACCAATGATGTCAGCTGTGATAACATAATAGGTTTACCCCTGAACAACGCGTCCAGGACAACTACATGTAGACTGGACAGCCCTCAAGGGAAAGTAGGGGCAGATCATGGGCATTCCCCACCATCCAGGAAGCTTCCATAAATGCACAGCCAAGACATAACACTCTAGTCCTGAGCTCACTCAAGGAATTGTCACATCCTGCACTTGTCTGCTTAACTTCACATCCATATGTCAGCATCCCACTTCCCACAGGCTGCACCCTTTGGAGATCAGCAAAGAGCAGCCATGTGAGGTACTTTGATGACCATTCAACTGGGTACATTCTTTTTCTGCACATCAGACACCTTTAATGTTTGCTTCATCTAAATGCAAGATAGTTTTGATAAATCATGCATCAGGAATGACTTTCCATGTTTGGTCCCAACAAGTGGGGTCGATGGTAGCAGACATCCTATCCTTTCTGCCAATTAGTAGAGCTTTTTGTGGTAGTACATTTGAGGTATTGCAGTTTTGCCATAGGACATGTCTTTCATAGACATTTGAGATGTATCTGCTGGCTTACAGTGGCAGACTGCTGTTTACCTCAATGCTGTTGTTAATCAAGGATATATGGAGACGAGACTGTACCATGAGATACCGTCTGCAAGAGATGGTCGTCTAAGCTACAGGCAAATTTCTTTGTCTAGGGGTCTTAGCAGTTTAGTAGTTCTTTCACTCAACAGACATTTTAACCAAAAGTTGTTATTTTATTATGTGTTCAGCCAACTGGCATTACTCATGTTCCAAACGAGATATGTGTTATTACCCATGCACTGGTAGTGGCTAATGAGAGCAAGAGGGCTTCTGGGCATGGCACCTCTGGAAGCCAGTAACTCCCAGATCCTCTGCCAGTTCTGTTAATGCTCATATGAGACATTATCTGAGGTGCCAGACCAGGAAGTGGGGCAGGAGTCTTGCATGATGTTCCTTAAAACCAGCCTAGAGCCGTCTGGTGCCTGAGGTATAGAGTATCTTCCTATACACATCACAACTAGGCAGATGTTGTCAGGGCCCTTTGGGAACAAGCAAAGGAGTCAGAAGCAAATCAAGATTATTATGGCCTGGAGAAAATGATGCATCTGGATGTAACATAAGGGTCTGGCCGGCTCACTATACTCAGAGGAAAGGCAAGGGGGACATATAACTAGATTACGACCGATGCCATTAATATTGGAGCTCTGCACAGGCTGCCGAAGATGAGGACAGAGCATGCATGGGAATGCCCAGAGTGCTGCGATATCAATTCTTGACTCAACTCGACACATCACGACTGCCTAAATTGTCCTTCACACCTGTGACCGGAATAACCAAGCTACAAAAATTAGTTTAATATCCACCAACAATATGGTACATACCGATAACGTAAATACTGCGAAATTTCTTTGTCTTTTCTTCTGTCTATCTGAAATGACTGAGATGTATGTAACTCTTGCTGGCACAAGACAAACAATCGATTTCTCCATAATGATGTCACAAGATTTGAAAAGTTACCACCACCTGTAAGAGAGTCAAAATAAATACAAATGTTTCTTCTTCTTTTGGTCATGAAGCAGTTAAAACTTACTCTGTCCTAACTAATTCACAATGTCAACTCATGATGTCCTAATTCTAGCTTTAACTCTATATGTTTTTAGACACAGAGGCTTGATGACTGACTTCTGCCTTAAAAGTTGGTACAGTGCCAAACCAAAGAATATATACAGCTCTCAAAATTGTGCATCTGATTTGCTTGCTGGTGCTTAGCTATAGACTGTTAATGCTGTTTAATCTTTGCACTGCTATGGCTATCCTGCTTTAAAAGTCTGTTGAACACTTTCCTCTGCTGTTTACGGAGCCCAGATATAAACATTTTGTGGTATTTCCGTTATTTAATGTTATTTTTGGGTGACAGACAGTTTTGACTGTGGGAATTATTTTTTCATAAAATGCAGAAACAGATTTTAATTTTCAAGTGTTTTTTTTTTAAATGGTCTTTTACAATTACACTGTTAAACAGCTCTACAGTCCAAAGGAGCACTGTACCATCTGCATAGCAAAGCATCAGAATTCAGTTGCCTGGAATTATTGGTAGGTCATAACTGTCTCAAGTCTGGTAATATTTAACATTTCTCATGATGATTTCTGAACATGTATTGAGCAAGTATGAGTAGTAGCAGCAGTAAGTAGTGGTGGTGGTCAATCCATTATTATTATAACTATTCATTATTATCATATGGTTCATGGCATGCCCAAGCCCATTAGTGGTCAGGGCTATTTTATTTACTTGCCTAAAATCTAAATAATTAATAGTATTATTAGGTTTATATGATATATACTTCCCAGTGTAAGCACTTACCAATGTTTAGCCCAGGGAAAAAGAAGGGAGGGGGGAATTAAACATCAACCCCCTATCCCCGAATGTGTTTTCATTTTTACATTTGTTGTGTGTGGCTATTTGTACATTTTATTTTTCAAGTTAAATTTACTGATTAGGTGGTTTCTTCTCTCCAGCCTATGGGAGCAGAAGGTGCCATTCTATCAGCTTGGGCCTGGGGATGATAGAGTGTATCTTCCTGAAGCCTTCAATTACTTAGTGTGTGTCATGCGGGGTCGGCGGGGAGAGTGAGAACAGCGTTGAAAATAAATAGTGAACAACTGATGTGTTTATATGTCGTTTAACCCTGCCAGGACCCTACAAGGTTATACAAACATTAAGTCATTTCCCCAATACATTTTACTGGCATGCAGCCCGGAATCCATCTACTCTCATATTACAAAGTAAACTATAACTGTGACGCAGCCTGGCATCCATCTTTTGTCAGATTCCACTATAAATTGTCTATGGTGGATCTACCATTAAAATGTTAATATCTCCGCCTAGAATTATAAGAATTGACAGGAAGGTTTCATTGAGGTATCGTTGGACTGTCTATTTTAATTTCTATCCAGCTGTGGTAGTTTTAAAAGTAAAAACTTGGCTATTCTCCGAATAACGGTCCCAAATTATGGAGGTTGAAAATATACCGAACTCCGCTAAGACCGGTCCCAAGCCCGGCTGTAATAGGAGGAGGGTCTGGCTGAACCTGAGTGCTTCATGCGTCTCCGGAAGTAGTGGGTAACCGTGAATCAGCCAGACGGCCTGCATGGAGGCCGCAAGGAGGCAGCCCCTCCACCATGCAAAGGCACAACAGGCCAATCACCTGTTTGCCTTAAACCACGATTACAAGTAACTACATAGAGAAAACCGGACGGATCTTAACGGCGACGAACTGGCATGGCTTACGGACTACGATTTATGGAACATGGAATATAAGAGGCATTAACGGAAAGGAAAACGAGTTAGTAGGGGAGATGAGGAAAGCAAAATTAGGAGTCTTGGCTCTGACTGAAACCAAGAAAAAGGGGCAAGGAATCACAGATCACGATGGAAGTATGCTGCTCTACAGAGGTGTCCCTATGACGGAGAGAGCCAAGGGAGGTGTTGGCTGTATTGTGGCCAGGAATCAAGTTAGTAACATCAAGGGATGGAAATTCATCTCAGAGCGAATAATGGTGTTAGATCTGAAAGAAGAAGATAAAATTGTCAATTTTGTCATTGTGTACGGGCCAAATGAAGATGAGCGAGTAGATGTATAAGAAGAATTCTTTGAACTGCTCCAAAAGACCATAGATGACTGTCACGATGAAATTATTCTCCTAGGAGATCTAAATGCCAGAGTAGGAAATGATCACTCTAGATGGGGTGGAGTGATCGGGAGATATGGTGAAGATGTTTTGAATGATAATGGCAAGCGACTTCTCAGATTCTGCAGGGAACAGAACCTTGTCATTACAAACACAAAATTCCCCCACAAGCGTATACATGCATACACAAGATGTGAACCTTCAAAGAATGAAAAATCCATCATTGACTACGCCATAGTTAGGAAAAGTTCATTCAAGTTTGTGAGAGATGCCAGAGTCATGAGAGGACCAGAGATTGGAAGTGACCACTATCTGGTCACAATAAAGAGAACAACTGAAAGAACTGCTCCAACAAGGCAACACCGACAACTATGCAAGAAACCAAGCAACCAAGAAGGGATGAGGATTAAAGCATACAAGCTAAGAGAGCCAGATATTAAGGCTAGATACCAGGAGCTTATAGTGAAAGCAATAGGAACTGAAGAAGAATCATCAGAGGACACTGAAACTCTCTGGTGCAGATTCAAGAATATCCTCACAGCAGCTGCAGTAGAAGCATGTGGTGAAGTCCCAAGTGGAAGGCGGGGACACAGGACACCTTGGTGGACAGAAGAAGTCAAATTGAAAATAGGAGAAAAGAAAAGGGCATGGAAGCAATACCTGGCAGCCAGGAACACAGCTGAAGAAATAGAAAAATATAAATAATATGTGGCACTCAGAACAGAGACCAAAAATATTGTGCTTAAAGCAAAACAGAAATCATGGGAAGAGTTTGGAGAAAAGTTGGAAAAGAATGCAAGAGAAAACCAAAAAAACTGTTCTACAAGACCCTTAAGAACATGAGGAAGGAGAAAGAGTGCCCACTTAAATTCATAAAAGACAAGGAAGGGGCTCTGCTTACTTCTACAAATGATATCATGGGCAGATGGAAAGAATACTTCTCAGAGCTCCTCGGCGCTGAGGGAAGTCATGACCCAGAAATAATGGACCTCACTGCTGAGAAGGAATTCAATCATGGGGAAGATAACATCAGGATGGAAGAATTGAAGGCAGCTATTGAGAAGATTAAGCTGGGAAAAGCAGCAGGTCATGATGGTATAACACCAGAGATGGTCAAATATATGGGAGTCGAAGGTGAGCGCCTTCTACTGAAGGTTCTCCAGGCAGCCTGGTGTAGCAAAACTATACCAAAAGATTGGGAGATTGCCATCATTATACCTATATTTAAAAAAGGTGATAACAGACAATGTGAAAACCACAGAGGCATATCCCTCCTCAGCATTCCCGGTAAAAGTTACTCTAGAATTCTTGAGCAGAGACTTAGAAGTCTGGTAGAGCCACAGCTGGACGAGGCCCAGTGCGGCTTCAGAGCAAACCGAAGTACTCAAGACCTTATCTTCACACTGAGACAGATGAGTGAAAAAGCCCTGGAATATAAGAGTGAGATTCACTTATGTTTTTTGGATCTGGAAAAGGCATTTGACAAGGTACCCTGGAACAAGCTCTGGGACTGCTTGGCAGGGAAAAACATCCCAGCACCCCTGATCAGTGCAATACAGAGTTTCTACAAAAAGTGCAGAAATTATGTAAGAACAGCAGACCAAAAGTCAGAAGAATTTAAGACCACCAGCGGTGTTAGACAAGGTGATATTATCTCACCTTACCTCTTCATTCTTATGATGGATGATGTCATCAAGACCTGTAAGGAGAAGACAAAGAAGTACTCGGTAGGGTACTGGAAGATGAGACCAATCTGTATATCAGAGCTGGCTTTTGCAGACGATGTGGCCCTGATAGCTAAATCAGAGGCACACCTTCAGTCCAACTTACTTGTCTGGAAGGAAGAGCTTGAAAAGAAAGGGATGACCATCAGTGTCTCCAAAACTAAAACCATGGTGATCTCAAGAGAGGAGAAGAAACACCAGATCATGATGGGTCAGTATGCTTTGGAGCAGGTTAACCAGTTCAAATACCTTGGAGTTGTATTAGACCAAAATGGAGGCATTAAGACTGAGCTGGCTACACGAAAAGCAGCTGCTGGGAGACTCTTCCAGGCCATAAACCGAGGGTTTCTTAGCAAAAGAGAAATTGGCAAGAGGACGAAAATGGCTGTTTACCGCTCTACCTATGTACCAGTCCTGACCTATGGGTGTGAGTCATGGGCAATGACAACAGCTCACAGAAGCCAGCTGCAGGCCTCGGAAATGAGATACCTGAGAAAGGTGGTCCAAGTGACAAGAAGGGACAAAGTCCGCAATCAGACAATACGTCAAGATCTTGATACCCAGCCCTTACTAACCCGAGTGGATCAGTCACAGTTACGATGGTTTGGACATGTGTGCAGAATGGGAGAAAATCGGCCACCATGGCAAGCATGGGAGGCTAAGAACCAGGGAACCAGACCTCCGGGACGACCCAGGGTGCGCTGGGAAGACAACATCCGACAGTCCCTGACTGACAGAGGACTGGAATGGAACAAAGCCAGAAAGAAAACTGCTGATAGAGACGTCTGGCGATCTCTCTGGCAAACCTCTACACCCCAAGGTAAAAGAGGAGCGACTAAGTAAGTAAGTAAGTAAGAAAATATACCGTAACAGAGCCTCAGTCACATGTAAATTGCCGACCTCTTCTGGCGACTACACAGCATACCGCAAAAAAGCTCCCCCCGAGTTAAAGTCACTACCGAGAGTATCTCACGCGCCGCTACGCGCGGAACGGGGCTAAACAAAATGGTGGGAATCACGAGCAGCAGTTACCGCATCTCATGCAGCTTCCTCCATTTTATTTGCTTATGAGTCCCAGCCATTTAGTTTAGCCACGCGTAGCGGTGCGGGAGATACTCTCAGCAGTATTCTGTGTAGTCGCCGGAATTGGTCTGCAATTTACATGTGACTGAGGCTCTGTTAGGGTATTTTTTGGCCCCGATAATTTGGGACCGTTATTCGAAGGATAGCCAAAAACTCAATATATGTATATAGGCTATCATCCGAATAACAGGCACATATTATGATGGCCAAAAACAGGGCCTCAGTCACGTGTTAATTGCGCATTTCTGGCACCCTAATTTGCGGTTTTCCGGCGACTACCGCCACTGCTGAGTGTATCCCCCACGCTGCATGGACTGGGGCAAAACTAGAGCAAAACTGGAGGTGATGCGGAAGCTGCTGCTCGTGAATCCCAGCCATTTAGTTTAGCCCTAAACAACGCCGCTCAGGCAGTGTGGGGGATACTCTCGGCAGTGGCGGCAGTCGCCAGAAAACCGTAAATTAGGTCGCAGGAAGTGCGCAACTGACACGTGACTGAGGCCCTGTTAGGGTGTTTTTTGCGGCCGCCAATTTTATATGCCCGTTATTTAGAGGATAGCCTATATATATATATATATATATATATATATATATATATATATATATATATATATATATATATATATATATATATATATATATATAATATATAGGCACTCTTCCGAATACCGGTCCCAAATTATTCACTGCCGAAAAACATCCCTCAGGAGGTTATGTAGTAAAACTGTTTAGGCCATCATGATCAGTGTCCACTTGTGCCGTTATTGCTCGCTGGATATCAATGTTTAGACGTTAAGTTAAGCGCTGTGGGGAGGAATCGTTTTCGATCCATTGAAGCGACGTGGAAAAGAATAGATTTAGATCCATTTTTTAAGCGGCTTGGGGAGGAATAGAGTTCGATCCATTGAAGCGACGTGAATGATTTTTTATCCATTGTTTACATTACCCATTACTGCCCTTGCGGGGTCCAGGGCCACATGTTTTAGGGGAAAGAAAAAAATAGATCCACTGCCACATAAAAGTTGTAAAAGGCGACTAATAAGGACTGCTGAAATCGGATGCTTTGGGGCAAAGGGCGCAGATATCGCAGCCTAGCTGTAAACCACAACACAACGTGAGAACCATTCTTTCAAGGGCGAACGAAAAGAACGAAGTTTACCTACCCGTGAAATTATCATTGAGCATCTCGCCGCCGCTATCGCAGCCTAGCTGTGAACCACAAGAACAAGAGAAAGGCGCATATTTCGCAGCCTAGCTGTAAACCACAACACAACGTGCCAACCGCCCTGTTAAGGGTTAAAAAATGACCTCTTGAGGCCCTGAATAGGATTTTTTAACGGCGAATAATTTGGGACCGGTATTCGGAAGAGTGCCTATATATATATATATACACACACACACACATAACTTCACTAGCATCTGGATGATCCGGCATAAGCTTTTATATGTTAAGCATCATAATTCATTTTGTGACAGGTCAACTTATACATAAATACGAACATTATTACCATTGCGTGTGAAATAAATTAACTTTCTGTAAACATTTCAAAGGTTCAATTAATGAAAAAAGCAAATCGAATAGGAGACGTGGTGTAGTAGCTAGTGAAATACAAACAAACACAATTTGCTGCTAACCTTTCCACCTAACAATTGACGCAGCCATTTTCATAAAGGAAGACTACTCTAATACTCTTTCTCTCTTGTAGTCCAAACTGTGACGTATTGGTTATTGCTCGTGGGTTTCTGTTTCGTTTACTGTAAACATGGTATTTGTTTGATACATCACAAATTGATCTGCTTCAGCCTCTCCTCCCATCAAACTTTCCTATTATTATTTTTTACTTCAGTTTTCTCCTTTTGAAAGCGTATCCAAGGAATATAAAGTGTTAACACAGTTTCCTTGTGTTAATTTCTTTCTATGCCTCTTTATTACTCTTTTATCTTCTTCTTCTTGTTTGCGTTCACCAGCTGTAAACTCTGGCGGAAAGTTTTAATTGTTCATACACTTTTGGACTGCAGTCCTGTTCCAGAACCTGAGTGTTGCGAGTGCATCCATTTTACAGTTTTGACTCATTTGTATGCAGACTGCTAGTTCCTTGCCTTTCAGGCAAATGCACTCTGACTTCGAAGGAAGCTCCCGTTTAGTCGACTCTGACGGCGTGCTTTTAGGAAGGCAGTGAGTCTATCCCCCCCTCCCCCTCCCCCATAAGAGAGCCCCGGAACCCACATGGAAAACTCTTTTATCTGTCCACCGTGTTCTCGTCATCTTTCTGTAAAAAAAAAATCTTGACATATTTCACAAAAGATCTCAACAATTTGCTGACTGTCCGTGATTTATGGTGTCATTTTATTGGTTTGACATGAATTCTGTCCATGGCTATGGATTTCAAGCTGTACTATAGACATGACCAATGAAGACATTTTTGGGGTGCCTAGATTTGATTTGATTTGATTCAATAACCGACATCACAGCACTCGGGGCATTCCCATAAGCGCCCCGTCCCCATCTTCAGCAGCCAGAGAAGAGTTCCGATACTAATGATGCCAGTAGCTTTCTGATTAAACGTCCGTCTTGCCTTTCCTCTGAGCCTTGAGCTTCTGCCAGAACCTCTCGTCACCCCCAACTGCATCAATCTCACCAGACTGGTGATCCATCTGCTCCTCCGAATTGTACACGCTCTCCCACAAGGCACTAACCAGGTCTGCCCTAACATGTAGCAGTATTCCACCAAGTTGTGCAGAGCCAGCCAGTCTGTCCGCCTGTTCATTTCCCAATACCGGCGTGACCCTGTGAAAAAAATCCAGACAATGCTCCTCACTCGTGTCCCCCGCAGCGAAGCATGCCACTCTGCACGAAGCATACCTGTTCTGATCTTCCTCAGCATGCTTTCTGAATCAGTTACAATTACAATGTGTGTCGTGTTCTCTAGCCAGCGGAAAGCTACAGTGACCGCCTCTACCTCCATTCTTAAGCTGGATGTTGTGGTATCACATGCTAGGCTCTCCTGCACCAAACGTCGACCATTAACTTTTGCTAAAAAGCCCCAAACACTTCTTTTGCCTCTTGACACTGAACCGTCTGTGTAAATGATCAAATCCTCTGAGCGAGCATTATCTTGAATTAATTTCCGAATTGCCACCTCTGTGGCACCTGCTAGCCAGTCTCTGCATTCACGGCTCAGCATGATTATGACTCTACACAAGTCTGACTGCTCAGGTGGCACTTTGAACCACTCCTCTCCTCGCCTAATGTTCTAAAAGATGCAAACCTGTCTGATTGTGTCTTCTGCCTGAGCCATCCATGACCTCCCTCTTATCAGCCGCTGACCCTTAACTGTACCCAGAGCTTCATGCAGAGGGTGGTCTGTGTCTGCAGCTACCCTGATATATGACTTCGCCTGCAGCACATTGTGTCTACCTGCAACCTTCGGCAAACCAAGAATATTTCGCATACACACCACTTGGTGTGTCTCTGGTGCAACCCAGAATGACCCGCATAGCCGCGTTCTGTATGCGCTCTAGTTTGTCCATCTGATTCTTTGAGACGGTAAGCAGTCCCAGGCCATAATCCACCACTGACAGGATCAGGTGCTGATATAGTGTGAAAAGCATTCTCTGCTCTATGTCAATTGCAGCCATAGTCTTAAGTGCACTAAGTCCTTTTTGGCATCTCGTCACAACACTCCCCACATGGTCCTTAAATGACAGGCACCTGTCAAATGTAATTCCTAGATACTTCAGTTTGCTCTCTCTGTTGACGTCTCTACCATCTATCGTGAGACTTGGGGCATTAGTTTTAACGATTATGTTTTCCAGAGAACACCACAAAACAGACGCCTTTTCCGGGTGGACGATAGCCTTCATTTCTGTACACAACTCAGTCACTTTGTCTACTGTCCCGAACTGTTTGTTCCCTCTCTTCCCCCTGCCTATACGCAAGTATATCATCCGCAAAAGTCAGTATCCTTCCAACTCCTGGTACTTCTAGACTTGCAATCTTGTTCGTATACACGTTGAAGAGCACAGGCGAGATGGCAGATCCCTGTGGCAGTCCTGGGGCCAAAGTGCATGGTTCAGAGGTCCATGAGCCCAGTCGGAGAGCAACCCGACGTGAATACAGGACAGCTGCAATCCAATTCACCAGCCATGGATTGACCTCCTTCTCTCTCAGTGCAGTCATTAAGATGTCGTATCTCACTCTGTTATAAGCATCCTCGAGATCTAGTCCTACCGCCATTGCTTCCTGTCTGTTCTGGAACCCTTCATAGACGTCAAAAGCAAAAACGGCCGCATTTGCCCAGGTGTCCTTTCCTGGCCTGTAACTTCCCAGACCTCTTAGGAGAAGCTTCCCCCTTTCCAAAAATTCTTGTAACTTTACAGCAACTATCTTCTCCAAGACCTTCCCAAATGTGTTTTGTAAGGTGATGATTCTAAAGCCATTAAGCTTAGAATGATCTTTAAAAGGTTTTGGTAGTGGTATTAGATAGCTGTGCACCCAGTCTTGCGGTACTGATGCTGTCTTAATACTCTGGTTAAAACAGTCGGCCGTCTCTGCCAGGTCTACATCGCTCAAAGCCTACATGTGACCATACATGACACCATCAGGCCCTGGTGCAGTGTCTTTTGCTTTTTTTTTTCTTCAAAATTTGTTTGATATCTTCCACTTGTATCATGTCTTCATAATGCATATTCTTCAAGGTGCTAGCTAATTCCTTTCTAACTGCATCCCTGATGTCTACATCATTATTATCTGTCTGAGCTATAAACCTATGGAGAAAAGCCCCCCCCCCCCTTTCTCCTTGTCTGTTGTCACACGCACACCATCGTCTCTACAAATTGTTCCGACTGTCATAGGCCGATCTTTTCTTTGCATCTGCCTTTGCAGTTTCCAGAATTTCCCTAATGTTTTATCGCCTCTCATGTCATTCACAAAAGTTTCCCACTTTGCTCTTTTGGCCTCTGCAGCACAGCGCTTGAAAACCTCCACCTTTTCTTTTTTCACATTCTCCGCCATGTCCACTTCCTCTCGTGAGCTTGAGTGTGTCTGTCGTACTTTCTTTAGCTGCTTCACTGCGGCTCTCTTTGCCTTCCATGCCTGTTCTACTTCTGGAGTCCACCATGGGGGCTGTAGAAAATTGGTTCTGGCAGTTCTTTTGCATGCTCCCTGTCTGAGGCGTCCAAGTAGGTTGTTGGTCCACTTTTACTGGAAGGTCTTGCGTGCTCTCCCAACCTTAACCTTACTGAGTTTAGAAATCAAGACTGAACATGGTAGGTGATCACTCCCATGGTCATTCAGGACAGTCCATTTAACATCTAAAACCGACGACAGAGAGACAAATGTCAAGTCAATGGCTGTGTCTGCATCTCCAGACCTCATTGCCATTTTAGTCGGCCTCCCATCATTGATGCAGACCATATCGGAGTTAACCATGGCCTCTTCAAGAGCAATTGCCTGTCGGTTTTCTCCACTGCTGTCCCATTCTCTGTTCCTCGCTTTGAAATCCCCACACATGAGTAACCTGGGGTGCCTAGTTGGTCATGTATCTTAGTACACTTGTTTCCATAGCGAGACGTACATGCTATTTAGAGGCGACAGGGCCGATTTCCGGCACGGTAACTATAGCTTTCGATTTTTATGACTGACTGACTTTCTACCCCACCAGGACATCATCATCATCATCAGGTGCCTTGCCGACTGGCGTGGGTGATCATGCCTCTCCATAATCCGCGATCTCCTGTAGCATGTATCAGTTCGTGTGCCGACACACCTCCATGCCATGCAACAAGACTGTCAAGCATCTTCTCTCGTTGTCTTCCTCTATCCCTCCTTCCACAGATCTTTCCAGTGGTCACAACATGTTCTATTTTCCCTCTTCTCATAACATGGCCGAAAAATGATGACTGTCTCCTTCTGATGTCAGTGATAAGTTGTCTTCGGGCTCTTTTAAAACCTCTTGGTTGCTCTTTTTGGCTGTCCAAGGTATTTTAAGCATTCTTCTGTAAAACCACATCTCTGAGGCCTCTAAAAATTGTTTGGTCTGCCTACCGATTGTCCAGGATTCACATCCATATGTTAAAACTGGATGTATGTAGCAAGCAAGAATTCTTTTTCTAACTCTCAATGACAAGGATATATTGCACAAGATGTTTTTTCATTTGATAAAATGCAGTTTTTGCCTGTCCAATTCTGTTTCTTATTTCAGTTATTTGAGTTATGCATCTTCCATCTGATGTTATCCATGTGCCCAGATACTTAAATTTCTGTACTTGTCTTAAAATAACACCATTGACTTTTATTACATATTTAGGAATAATTTGTTTCTTTGATACCACCATTACTTCTGTCTTCCCATTATTCAAACTGAGGCCCATTCTTCCACTTTCTAACACTACAATGTCTATCATTTCCTGTAATTCTTTCTGACTTGTTGCTATCAAGACTGTGTCATCAGCATAACGTAAATTGTTTATATTGTGCCCACCAACCACGATTCCGGGCATATCAATTAAAGATCTCATAATATATTCACTGTATATTGAAAACAAATCAGGTGAAAGTACACATCCCTGTCGTACGCCCCTCTTTATGCTTTGAAATGTACCTAAACAGTTGTTAATTCTTATAGCTGCTGTTTGCTGCCAATACATATTCTTTATTATTCT